AGTGGATGGCCTACAGGGGGAGGAGTAGCCACTTCAGTAGAAAATGCAAGAACTTATAATAACAATTTGATTCGACATGTTAAAAGAGGGACTCCAAGAAGGCCTGGAAAAGCTATAGAAACTTATATTTTTGCCATGTTTGATGAGAATCAAAAAAGTCCAGAATATGAGAAATATTGGGGGCTTTTCTTGCCTAATAAACAGCATAAATATCAAGTCAAGTTTAATTGAAGAAATTGTAAGAAGTTGCATACAATGGAAACTTTTATGTTTTACTAATAATAATAATTATGATGATAATAAACTTGATTATTGAAATTTCCCTAACAATGATAGTCTTAAGAACTCAAAACATGTCACGTTTGAGTTTTATCCAAATACTATCCCAAGCTTATAGGTCTCTCATTTACACCCATCCTAACTTGAATAATTTAAGTAAAAATACCTGGTCAAAATATAATATATATCAAACTGAAAAAACATCAAAAACTATCCGAAACCCTGAACACAACTAGTAAATTGTCATAATAAAAAAAAAAATACAAAACCAAATGCAGGTACATCGAACTTATAGCAGAGCCAAACTATATAAGAGACATTTCTTGAGAATAGAAAAGCTAAATAAAGTCGACTTAGCTCCAAACCTGCAGCAAAATGTCTTCACAACCAATAATTAAGTGAAATTGCAGTCTAAATGATATACATATTGTTCTTTTCAATATTATAACCAAGCAAGAAAATCTTTATGTCTGAACTCCCTTTTTAGCCTACGAATCTGCAAAATGATTATGTTCTCTCTATATATGTAAGAATTAAACCGAACATACCACATATGCTATCAAATCTATTGAACATTAATCTCCAAATCCAAGTCTTTTGCTTTATTTAAAATCCAACACACAACAAATTTAGAATCAGATTCAACAATTAATGATGAGTGTTTCAATTGAGATTGAGAAAAAAAATTCTATAGCTTTGAAAATTGCTCTTAATTCAGCTTTATCTCTATTGTGTAATCAATAGTGTTATTCTAAACATAATATTTCGAACGAAGAAAAGAATGATGAGTTAATAAACATATAGTTTGTAGTTTTTAATGTTTGTATGTTTGTATTAGTTGTTATATATTTTTTTTTCCTTTGATTTTGCTATATAAGTGTATGATTTCTGGTTATATCTATATACAGATGCATGGTTTCAAATGAATTTTACTTCTGAAAAAAAAAAAAAAACATATAGACCAAAGGTAATTTTTTCTTTTTCTTTTTAAATATCTTGAGAATGTGAAATACACAATATAAATCTCATAATTAATAATTCTCACTAAATAAATTAGAACTATAATTTTCACCGTCCTTATAAATATATATTATAATTTTTTTAATTTTTATTATAAATTATAATATTATGGCAATATAATATTCTAAAACATTCTGGGCAATTCTGGGGACTTTTTTCTTTGCCAAACAAACAGCCTAAATATGAGTCAATTTTTCAGGAATAAACAAACAGCCTAAATATGAAGTCAATTTTTCAGGAATACAACATCAAGTAAATTTTAATTGGCCTAATGCACCAATTTGCGCCTTTTTATAATTTTCTTCCAATTACAAATAAACATATTTTTTGTAATTTTCTTGCAATTTGCGCCAAACTCATTCTGTAGACAGAATTTTTGTTTAATAAATTATAAATCAAGGAGTTCACTACAAAAAAAATAGTTTTAAAGGTAAGGCTAAGTGCAAAAAGGCAATTATAGTTTAGAGAAAATTTGACAAATTTCAACTTGTTTATTACGTCCAAAGAAGTTTCACTTTAGTTTCTTATTTTCATATTTATAACTTGTATATTAATTACTTTCAATTTTAAAGAAAAGTCTACAACAAGTTTTCTAACACGTTTTATCAATCAAAGACTTACAAGTCTTCGTCGTCTTTCTTTTTCTCTTAAAGGAAAATGATCAACAAGAACAGAATCAGCAATAAACAAGGGAAGGGCAGGACCCACTCCTTTAAGATCAGACCAAGAATAAGCAACCCTATTCACTGACAGTTTTTTGAGAAGACATATACAGTGAGGAATAATATTGCCAAAATAACAGCCATCTGCATTTTTGACCTTCAAGTGCTTGCACCAGCAGCAGTAGGGACTCTGACTCAGGGTTGTAGAATTTACCTTTCGATTAGGTTTTTTATTTTCGTTTTTTTTTAATAAACAATACCTCTTTATTTAAATTTGTTTAATTTTTTTTTCTTTATTTTTGAGAAAACTGTTTTGAAAACAAAAAATAAATTTTTTAAAAATAAATAGCCGTTTACATAATTGTGTTTTCTGTTTTTAATTCTATATTTTTTTTTTCATTTTTATCCTCATAAAATTATTATTGTCATTGATATTCTTACTATTATTGCCTCTATCTATATGAATTTAATGTTATTTCATTTATCTAAAAATATACGAGTATATCTTTTTATCTCTATTCAAATTCTCTTTTTTTTCTATCTTTTCTCTATTTAGTATTATTTTTATATTTAATATTATTTTCTCTATTTTATTTTCTCTATTTATATAAATTTAATGTTATTTATTTATTTTAATATTTGGATATTATGTTTTTATTCAACATAATAATCAATAGTTACCGCAACATTGAAATTTTAAAATTAATGATCAAATTTGAATTAAAAACTATTTAACGAGTTAGAATTAAATAATTATTCAAGATATCTCTTTAAATCTTAGACTATTACGAGCTTTAACTGTGTGGATTCTGTTCAAATCAAAATGGGTTGGAATTAATTAGACTTTAAATATAACTTTAAAAAAAAAATAGACTTTAAATCTATTAATTCTATTATTTTAAGTATTAATTCAAAGAAGCACGATCAAATTTTTATGACAAATGAGATTTGATCTTCAAAATAATTTATACAAAAATAATGAAAGATATTTATTATAAAGTAGAAATTCCATTAATTATTTTAAATGCCTAATAGTAACATTAGGAATTAAGTAGAAATTCATAATAGTAAGAAAAAAAAGTAAGATTATTTTAAATTCAACAAGTATTTTGATATAGAATTTTATTATATTAACTGAAATATAAGAACAGGACATTAAGTCTCATTGGTGTTTACAAATTAATTAACTATATTGCTGTTGGAAGTTCTTTAGTGGGATGCCTGGAAAAGCCCACTGTCTTTCCTTTGACAGCATACTGTAATCCCTTTCAATTCTTCATTACTTGGTGTCTAACAGCTTCAAGTTTACGCAATTCCCTCAATGTTCCCCACGGAAGACTAAAAATATTAGCTAAATAAGAAAACATAATCTCCACTTAAATAGGAAAACAAAATTTAAATCCTAAATAGGGAAAAAACAGAACTAAATAAGAATTTATATACCTTAATAGATCAAATGGAAATTAAATACAGTGCTCTTGTTTCTAATAATTAAATAGAGGAGCTTAGTGAAGAAGGCAATATGCTTGGGAGACTCTCGTCAGTTTATTATCTATTTTCTTTAAGGATGGCTACTCTTGTTCAGATGGCAAAAGCCCTTCCACAAACCTCCCAAGATGCTACTTTTAGTGCTCCTACTTGCTCACCCTCAATGCAACAGGTATCCCCGAACGGGTTTTATAACTTAACATCTTCCGGGTTAGTTTGGGTATAAAAGGAAGTTCTGATGGCTCGGATTTAGTTTCCTGAAAATGTAAGGTTTTCATGATTTATATTTAAATGAAATTAATTAATTGCTGATAAAAAAGACTGTGTATTGTTACTGCTTGTAATGCAAGGTGCTCAAATAGGTTGGTTTGCTATGGAATGCTTGGCAATAAACCTGCCACCCCCCCACCCCCCGGAAAGTTATTCTCTCTCTTTAACCAGAATGGCATTCGGCCGAATGCGAATCTACGCTCCCCACGACCACGCAGCTCAAGAAAGCCTTAGAAAGGCTCAATATTGAAGCTCATTTTAGTCTTCCAAACTCTGATCTTCAAAACGCGTTGCTTCTAAGTCAAGCAGAAGCAAACACATGGGTTCAAAACAATGTACAACGTTTATCCCAACGTCAAGTTTCGTTACATTTCTGTTGGGAAAACGAAAGTCCACCTTCAGATTCCTTTGCCCAATTTTCTAGACCTGCTATGATGAACATCACGTAATGCGCTTCTATCAGCTGGTTTAGGAGATGCCTATTAAAGTTTCTACAGCTGATTGACACTGGCGTACTTGCCGAGTCATACCCTCGCCTCTTCTATAGGCTCTTTCAAAACAAGAATATCGTCCCAATACTTGACCGCGCTTCTCCAATTTCTGGTAGCGAATGATCCCATTACTTGTCGAAATATATATCCTTATTTCAGTTTACATTAGAGAATTCCGGTGATATTCCGTCTCGACTAATGCTCTTTTTTTAGCGGCTCCTTCTAACGGTTGTCTCCGATCCGCCGCACTTAGCTATCAAAAATCTCTTTGAATGCCATTCTTGGATGCGGTTTAATGCTTGCAAATTAGAGAAATCAGGTGGAAAATCTTTAGATATAGTTGTAGCAGGAGAGTGGGATGCCGACAGCCGGAGGAAAAGCCACTTCAGTAGAAAAATGCAAAGAACTTAGTAATTTGAACATTTTGATTCAAAATCATGTTAAAAGGGAACTCCCAAGAAAGAAGCCTGGAAAGCTATAGAACTTATATTTTTGCTAATGTTTGATGAGAATCAAAAAAGTCCGGACTACGAGAAATACTGGGGACCTGGGGACTTTTCTTGCCAAACAAACAGCCTAAATATGAAGTCAATTTTAATTGAAGAGTTAGGAAATTTTTTCTCTATTAATTAATAATCATAATTTTGAGCATTGAGATCTTCGTAAGAATGATGGGGCAATAAGTATATTTGTGTCTGTAAATTTTAATTTACTATATATATGCATTATGCGTATGAGTTCTTATGTTTCTTTATAATTATATCTTATGTATGATTTTGAAAATTCAAAATAAAGAATCATTTCAGTCTATTTCAATTTCAGAGTGAATCAAACAGTTTCATGTATCGATCAATACAAGATATAAAAACTCCTCTACATGTAATAAGTTCACTCTATGCATATCCACTCTTTCTGCAATTATCAAACATTTGATCATTATAAGAAGACCAAAAACATACTCCATTCTTGTATGATAAGTTAAAACCATCATCTATTCGTTGCCTCGGCGTGCTCATCGACCTTGCCTTTGCCTTTGCAGATTTTAGTCCGCTGCCATGTAAGTCGGAAAAAACTGGACTAACTTTCATCTCCTGAAAGTAGTACTCCGATGTGTTCGACAAAATGATCTTCTTGGAAATGATAGTATGGTGAATTTAATCCATCTATAGATATCTTGTTTTTCGCGTACTTCCTTGTTCCTAATTTGCATTGCACCAAACAGATCACTAGTTGGTTTCAGAATTCTCCATTTCTTCTCTAGTGGTAACATGTCCTTTGTTCGTTCCAATGGTTCTAAACCAATTGCTGGGACTGCTAATTTCTTTGTTGGGTAGTGATTCTTTCAAACATATGACTGGTTTTCTCCTCCTCCCTACAAATGTAATTAATTTTTGGCAATTGAACATGGGAAGGAATTCCAAAGAGTACATTTGGAATTTCATACGATAATTCAATATAATTAAATCAAATTCTATTTGTCAATTACCCGATGTGAAATGAGTATTTCACCCATCCTGTCTCTTTTGATATTGGCTTCTTGTTTTTTGAACCATAAGGCTTCCATCTCTTCCTTCGAAAGCATACTGTAATCCCAACATCTTTGGCTTTTGCATTCAAGCTATACACATGAAATTAAAAATAATTAAAATCATAAATAAAGAAGCAAAATTCATCATATACTTTTTAGATTTTAGATTTTACCATCTGAACTGATTGCAGATCCTTCTCATGGTTCTTCCCCTAGTTGATGACATGAAAAATAAATTAATAACACCTCGCCAATCAAAATTGTACTCCAAAAACATAATTCACTTATGAAATTCATTCGAACAAAACATTTTATTTAGTATTGTAACCTTAACCTACCTTAGTATCTGCATCTCCCAATGCCTTGGATTTGAAAATTTGCTTATTTTCGCCATCTATGTAATGATCAGTATTATTTTTAGCTCTGACCTGGATTCGTGCTTTTGCATTAGATGGCAAACGCTTCAATTTCATGGTTAGTTCGCGTCTAGCAGCTCGGCCACGGACGATAGCTTGAAGTCTTACTAATCCCTTCAATGCTCGCAAAGCTTTCCTTGCCTATTTTGGTAGTTCAAAATTTCTTCATTAGGGTTAGAGCATTATTAATGCAGCTACAAAAATAGTTCTGATATGCCATTTCAAGAACCGCATGCAAATTTCTTGATAAAAACAAGCCAAAACACTTATGCAAATTTCTTGAATAAAAACAAGCCAAACTTTTCTCGGTCAGTCGAAGCGATAGTGAGAATGTAATGAATATAAATTAATACAATAGCCATTAACAATGAAAATTTAAATTACATCCCATTACGAACTCCCGAATGGAATCAAGAAAACCAGAAAATGAATTTTTGAAGCAGTTGAACTAATGATAAGGTTGCATTCAGATAGATCCTATTACCTATAATGGAAATTCTTAACTACTATTCAATCAATTGCCAATAAACAGAATTAAGCAAGTTTAATGATCCATCAAGTAAAATGATCATCAGTAAACTTAAGTTTAAATTATTTCAAATAGCTTTCATTATATCTATAAGAAAATTTATATCTTGAGCTTACAAGATAGGCATGGAAAGCACTCTGTATCTTAATACCAGCCAAGAAGAACCGGTCACCCGGACAACCTCAGCGGCTGCATGAGCAGCTGCGATGGCAGCCTCAGCAGCAGCCGCCGTCGCAAGAGCTACAGTCAGTGCAAACTTTCTCTGCTTTTCTGTTGCTTCATCTATACTCCTCTGCAGTGATGGAGGAAGCAGAGCAGGGCGTTCCTTAAACTTTAGCCTTCCATGTTGTGGAAATTGGGCTTTTTTTCCACCAAAAACCCAAAAATAATTTTGAATTATTTGTAACTGAGTAACTACATCACCGGGTGAATTCCAGAATAAGTGGAGAGTCACAAATGGTCTCATTTAAAATCCACTTGCCTAAGACAATAAATTTACTTAGAAAGTAATTATTAGACCAATAACCACCAAAAATAGTTTACAGCCAACAATAGCTATTCAAATAAAGTAAACAGACAAAAAAAGTCATAAATAAGGGAGGACACCAAAAATTTAACGAGGTTCGCCAATTTTTTGCTACGTCTCGGACACTATACCAAAATTTATATTTCACTAAAAAAATTACAAATTGAGAGAAGGAGAGAAGCTTGTCTAACCACTAAGTATTGGAAGACAAGTTTGGGATATATAAATTTGAAAACTTAAGGAGCTAGGCTCCTTTTATAGCCAAACAACTCCCTATTCTAATCCTAGTTTACCGATGTGGGATTTTTGCCACATAACCAATAATCTCAACCTTGGCGAAAATCCCACCAATGCAAGTTTCGACTCTTTCTCTCACAAAGTTGCAATGTCTTCAAATGTGCTTGGTAGTGCCAAGCTTCAATTTTTAACAATATTGATCAAGTCTAAACAGTGTTTGAACTTGACAGCTGTCACCACTTTTGTCAACATATCAGCAGGATTTTCAGCAGTCTGAATCTTCTGGAGTTGAATCTGTCCTTCCTCTAAAATCCTCCAAAATTTCTCTAACAAAATGAAATCAAACGTCGATATGCTTCGTCCTTGCATGATAAACTTGGTCTTTGCCAAGTGAATAGCACTTTGGCTATCGCAATGTACAACAATGTTGTTTTGCCTAATTCCCAATTCATCGTTGAAGCCAAATTTCCTCCTTCACAGCTTCTGTAACTGCCATATACTCTGCCTCTATTGTAGACAAAGCCACTGTTGACTGCAAAGTAGACTTCCAACTAACTGGTGCTTTTGCAACAGTAAACACATAACCAGTAGTTGATCGACGTTTATCCAAATCACCGGCATAATCAGAATCACACAAAATCACCCGGCAATAATCAGAATCAACAGTATCCGACTATGCATTGACGCACTATTCTTATCCTGCTAAAAAATCAAATCCAACATCCAACAGTTGTTCAAAGATACCGTAGAATCCATTTCACAGCTTGCCAAAATGATCTTTGCCAGGATCATGCATGTATACCTGCTCAACTCCAACTGCCTGTGAATGTCTGGTCCTTTGTACACACCAATAGCATACATCAAGCTACCTAACAACATTTGCATAGGGAACTTTTGACATGCATTCCTGTTCTGCATCATTTTTTGGTGACTGAGTTGCACTGAGTTTGGGACTGAGTTGCACTGAGTTTGAAATGAGGAGCAAGAGGTATACTAACAGGCTTGATTTTGTCATCCATACCAAAACGCTTTAGTATCTTTCTCAGATATTGCTTCTGATTCAGACAAAGTCTCCCTAATTTCCTATCTCTGGTTATCCCCATGCTGAGAATCCTTTTTGCTTCACCCAGATCTTTCATTTCAAATTCTTGAATCAATTGATTCTTCATATTCTCAATTTCTTCTTTATTCTTTGAGGCTATCAGCATATCATCAACATACAAAAGAAGATAAATGAAAGAGTCATCTTGTAGCTTGTGCAAATACACACAATGATCGTATTTGCTTCTCGTGTACTTCTGCCCTTGCATAAACTTATCAAATCGCTTGCACCACTGCCTCGGAGACTGCTTCAATCCATAAAGCGATTTTTTAAGTTTGCATATCATATTCTCCTTTCCAGCAACTTTGAATCCTTATGGCTAAATCATATAGATTTCCTCTTCCAGATCTCCATGTAAAAATGCAGTTTTTACATCCAATTGAACTAGTTCCAAATCAAACTGTTCTACCAAGGCTAACAAAATCCGAATGGAGGAATGTTTTACAAATGGAGAAAACACTTCATTATAATCAATTCCCTCCATCTGAGCGTAGCCTTTAGCTACCAACCTTGCCTTATAGTGAACATTGTCTCTGTCAGGAAATCCTTCTTTCTTTGCTTTCTTTGCATATACCCATTTGCATCCTATTGCCATTCTTTCCCTTTGGTGGATCAAACTAAGTTCGCACGTTTGATTCTTTAATAACCGGGACTTCCCATTTCATCTTCCATAGCTTTTCTCCACTTTACTTCTTCTAAACTTTTTGACAGGCTTCATTGAAAAGTGGAGTGGAATGCTAATATCATCTGCAATTGGAGATGCATAGGCCAATATCATCAAAATGAGCAGGCTTTCATCTTCTTGGCCTATCAAGTGCAATTGACTTAAGTTGCTGTGGAGGTTCTTAGAGTTAAATCTCCTTCATCTGAACCTCCTTCTACCTCAGGAGTTTCTACGGGTTCAGTACCTACCACTGGGATTTTTCTATAAAACTCCACCTGTTGTGGACTATCCTCCACCTTTTGTGGAGTACCATCTGACTGCCTCACTGTCACTTTTGTTAACATGGTAGATTCATCAAAAGTGACATCTCTGCTAAAGATTATTTTCTTTGATTCTGTACACCACAGCCGATAGCCTTTAATACCCGTGCTTATCCCCATGAAAATGACTTTCTTATGAAAATGGCTTTCTTAGCTCTTGGATCCAGCTTCGATTCCTTAACATGATAGTATGCAGTGGAACCAAATATATGTAAGGAATCATAATCATTAGCAGCTTATCCACACCATACCTCTATAGGTGTTTTGCCGCCAGCCCAATAGAAGTTGATGGTAAATCGATTAATGAGAAATTGGCATGCCATATGACAAAAGCCTCAAGCCCAAAATTTCTTGTCTAACCCCAGCATTTAGACAACATACACCGAACTTTCTCCAGCAATGTTCGGTTCATGGAGCGTTCTGCCACCGCCATTCTGCTGCGGTGTTTTCTAACTGTGAAGTGCCGAAAACAATACCCTGCATTCTGCGCAGATTTTTATGAGCATTCATTTTTGTATTCTCCTCCATTGTCTGTTGAAGACAGTTGATTGCGTCTGCATCTGAGTTTCCACAATTTTCCATTTGAGGAAAACTCCTAGCGACTTCAAATCTTTTGACTTCAAATGTATACTCCAGCAATCAATCAACAAAGGGTTACATAAAATAATGTTGCCACCCAAAGAAAGCTGTTGGTTATAAGGGCCCATACATTCAGGTGAAACATAGTCCCAAAATAACCCTTGGTAATATGGATTTCGGTGCCAAATTTCACTCTTGACTGCTTTCCTTTAGTGCAATGCTTAGAGAAGTCCAACTTGCAGGTTTTGACATTTTTCAATAATCCCTGATCCGATAATCTTTTCAAGGATTTTTCACCTGCATGTCCCATCGCCTATGCCATAATCTGGTTGTTTCTAACTCTTTGTCATCACTAGAAACAACTGTTGCTGTCGATTCAATAATTGTATTACCTTGATAGTAATACAAATTATTCCTTCTCCGAACTCCTTTCATCACCACAAGTGCACCAAATATGACTTTCATCACTCCATCTTTCGCAATTATAGTGAGTCCTTTTGATTCTAGGACTCCTACTGAAATGAGATTCTTTGTCAAACTCGGTACATATCGAATCGATACGTATCGAACATCAGTCAGGATAACATCAGTCAGGATCCTGATTGACCCATCATGATTCTTCAACTGGATTGAACTAATCCCTTCTGTGAAGCAAGGAACATTATTTGCAGTATAGACGACTTCATTTTCAAGTTCTTTAAAGTCAAAAAACAAGTCCCGATGGGGACTCATATGATGACTGCATGCAGAGTCTAGCAGCCATACCTGACCAAAACTTGTCAAATTTGCTGATGAATTGTCTATAGATGCCATGACAGCTAATGAGAAGTCTGAGTCTACATCATCATACCCAGCTATGTTTGAATCAATAACAGCTTTGCCTTTGGCTTTCAGCTTTGGACAATCTTCTTCCAGTGACCTTTCTCACGACAAAAGGCACACTCATCTTTTACAACTTTGGCTTTTGAATGGGATCTACTTTTCTTTCCCTCTTTCTTTTGGCTTCGTGAACGACCTCTAACCACTAGAGCTTCTACTTCAGTTGCCTTTTCCTTCTTTTCTATCTTTCTCAATTCATGGCTGTAAAGATCAGCACAGTTCATGGCTGTAAAGATCAGCACAAACTTCACTGAAAGTCACATCTTTATTCCCATAAATTAGAGTCGTTGTAAGATGCTCAAATTCATCAGCAAGAGATGCTAGCAACAACACTGCCAAATCTTCGTCTCCAAATATCACATCCAAATTAAACAAATCACTCACCAATTGATTAAATTTTGTGATGTGTTCATTCATAGTGGTACCAGGAACATAATCAAAGCGATACAATTTCTTCTTCATGAAGAGTTTATACTGATTGTTTTTCTTCAAAAATTTCTCCTCCAATGCCTTCCACAATTTGTTTGCAGAAGTTTCTTTTGAGAAAGCATATTTTTGCTCTATAGAAAGACACGACCGAATTGTACATTGTACCACATGCCAGACGATTGATGGTCCTCTATTCACTCTCCTCCATCTCGTTTGGTTTCTCCTCTTCAATAGCAACATCTAGACCTTGCTGAAAGAGAGCGTCTAGAAGTTCACTCTGCCACATGCCGAAATGACCGGTGCATCGAAAATCTCCACTGTAAATCTTGCATTTGGTATAGCATTTCTTACTAAGGTTGATGCTGTAGCAGGTGTGGTATTTTTCTTTCCGTCCACCATTTCTGCTTTAAATATTTAATAGCTATAAAATCAATTTTCAAAATGCGGAACACAACCAAGGAACCTTTTTTATGTGGCAGATCAGACTATGTTGCCACCAGAGTGAATACTTAGTAACCTTGGCTCTGATACCAATTGTTGTGGAAATTGGGCTTTGTCCACCGAATTTAAAACAATTTGTGAATTATTGTACTGAGTAACTACACCACGTAAATTCCCGGATAAGTGGAGGAGTCACAAACTGTCTCAGTTAAAATCCACTTGCCTTGGACTAAATTTGTGTCGTTGATAGAATTTACTTAGACATGTAATTAATCTGACAATAACCACCAAAATATTTTTGCCCAACAATAGCTATTAAATAAATAAAGACAAAGCAATAAATAAGAGAGAACACCAGAATTTTAACGAGGTTCGGCCAGTTTTGCCTACGTCCTCGGACACTACCAAATTTATATTTCACTGAAGATTTCACTAAAGAAATATACAAAGATTGAGAAGAGGAGAGAAACTTGTTCTAACCCACTAAGTATTGGGAAGACAAGTTTTGGGATAATTTAAATTGAAGGAGGTAGGCTTTTCTGTTGCTTCATCTATACTCCTCTGCGGTGATGGAGGAAGCAGAGCAGGGCGTTGCTTAAACTTTAGCCTTCCAAGAATCCATCTCCACCTCTTTGATTTTTGCAGATTTTTAGACTTAAAGAAAGAAAAGAAAAGGAAAGTATTATTATTATTATTATTTTTTTTTTTTTAGTTTTCGTCTCATTTTGATCTATTCCCTATAAGAATATTTTTTGCAGGGGCAAACTCCTCCTACTAGTTTTAGGTCCTCAAACTTCAAATAATTAGTAAAAATATTTAAAAAAATGGTGTGGATTACAAAAATAATTATCTTTAGAATTTTTTGATCTTCTAGAATTTCTATATAAGAGATAGAATTAACAGTTGATTGGAATTTCTATTAGCTATTAGCTGATATGAATTATTATTAACTACATAAATTGACTAAATCAAAATATCTCTATATTTTTTGAGCTTTTCTGTTGACTGATTTATATTTATATTATATTAGTTCTTTTATTGTGCGTTGTACATTGCCATTGCCAGTTTTTTTACTCATTATCTGCACTCTTTTTTATAATATTAAGTATTATTTATAATAAAACATGATCTTATATTGAGATAAACGTTAATATATATATATTTTAATTCAATTTATAAATTATTACTTATTCAAAATGCACTTTAGCTATGCATAATGCCAGAATACGATTTTTTTTTTTTTTTTTTGGTAATTAGGGTTTTCTTATTGCAAACGCTTTCCATGAATTAGCCAACATAAATTGAAGATGATCTATTACACACATTACTCTAATTTGATTGCTATAATTGTAATGATGCATAAGCAATGATCGTAACAATTATTATATAAATAGCAATAACTTGATCTAGTTTTCAAGTTTTAATTTTGTGACAAGCAATTGATGCTATTCTCATGATTAGATAAGCTATATGCTATCAACTACCATAACTATCTTTTTGTTTTTCAATTTCCATTAATTATTTTTTAATAGAATTAGGATGTATAAACTATTTTCAGGCCGTAGAGCAAAAAATTTATAAATTAAAAAAAAAATGTTATTTTTAAAAAATAGTTAATAATAATTAGAGGAATCCTATAATAAAATTTTCAAACATGCGCTATAAGTACATGACTGTCTAGCTAAAATATAATGGCAATGCTTTCGAGTTTATTTACTTTCAAATACCATTTTTTCAACATTGTGACACTTTCTTGAAAGTTATGAGAATAATTGAATATTAACTATACATTGGACAATGTCAATGCACCAAAGGAACAAAAAGAAGAGTGAAAAAGAAAAAAAGAAAAAGAGAATGAGAGCAAAAATCATATTTAGTTTCTTTGCATTTTTAATGATTAATATGAAAAAATAAAACCCTTTTTTAATTAATTACATTCATTTTTTAAGAAATTACCAATTTATCATTAATAAACATTTTCTTTTTTTCTTTTTTTTTTTTTGTTAAATTGACAATGGAGTTAAGAATATTAATGGTACCATGTTGTGCATTTTCTACATGGAATTGACAAATATAAAAGGACTTGTTATATCGGATGATTTAGAATAAATATTAATTAAAATTTGTATTTTGTTGTCACGTAACCTACGGCACAACCCATTCTCCATGTGCTTTGCCCTCTTGTCTCTTGCTTTTAAATTGACATGCTCTTTATGGCATTTGTTTTGCTCAATGGATTTGTTTTCATATTTTTTACCGTTAAAAACATTTTACTAAAAATCATTCTTTTTTTTTTTTAGAAAGAGACTCCAAACGAAAACCAGAAAGCAATGATGGGAGGACTCCTTGAAGGTAGGGAAACTTTATAACCTGGCATTGATAAGTTTACATGACCACCATTATTATGTTTGATGATAAAGCATGTGCTCCTCCGCCCCCCACCCCACGCCAACTCCATAAAGCACGATTCTAAACTTTTGCCTTTTTCATCTGCCTTTTCCTTTTTCTATTTCCATTTTATATGTGCCAAAATTCCATATATATGCTGATATTCAGGCATGGAATTAGGTAATCTATTCCATGAAATTTCTTAGATACACAGCGAACAAAATGAAATTTCATAGGAAGGTTGTGTAGAAAATTAACAAAATTTTGGAAAATTAAGAGAAGGGATGCCTTTGACACTAGTGCTACAAATAAGTATTGTTTTCACATAAAATTAGATTTTAAGTTGGTAATAGAATAAAACATAGACTCTTTCTTTATTTTAAAAAAAATCACAAACCCTAAATTAAAAGTATGAAGTTACCTACTTTTGTACTTTCCACATAAAACACACACATATATATAATGATGGTTCTAAAACTATAAAAGCTTCTAGTAAGTAAAATTAAAAAATGAATTTGTATCAATATTAATTAGTCTTAGAAGTATAATTACAGTTTATGGAAGAAAAACAGTAAGCTTGAAGAGGTCAAAATGGAAGGGGGGCCATTGCCTAAGTAAGAGGTCAAATTAGTAGAAACATGTAAGAAATTCATTGCCTAAAATTGAGGTTAAGGAGGCATTGTCATTACCTAATTTACAAATATTAAATTGCAATTTGTGTAACTATTGCAATTTGTGTAGCTAATTTACAAATATTAAATTACTAATATTATATAAAAGGCAAGTTGTTAGCTAGATGTCCAAATGAATTGGGCAGCCATAATTGTACTATTTGTGGAAAATTTTTGCACATCCTCTAAGGAGTGACTTTGACCTGCCAAATGAGAATGGAAACTAACTATAGAGCTCTTTGATTTTTCTATAAATAGAGGAGATAATTAATGGAGGAGGCAATATACTTGCAACCTCATAAGTTTATTCTAAATTGCGCTGAGGATGGCTAGGTCTTGTTCAGTTAGCAAAAACCCTTCTTCAATCTCCATGATACTACTCTTTGGGCTTCTACTTGCTAGCCTTGATACAACAGGTGCTCAGATAGGTGTTTGCTATGGAATGGTTGGCGATAACCTACCACCCCCACCAGAAGTTATCTCTCTCTTTAACCAGAATGGCATTCGAAGAATGCGAATCTACGCTCCAAACCAAGCAACTCTGCAAGCCTTGAGAGGCACCAATATTGAACTCATGTTAGGTCTTCCGAATGTTGACCTTCAAAAAATTGCTTCTAGTCAAGCTAAAAATTGCTTCTAGTCAAGCTGAGGCAAACGCATGGGTACAAAATAATGTCCGAAACTACCCGGATGTCAAGTTTCGTTACATTGCTGTCGGAAATGAAGTTAAACATTCAGATTCCTTTGCTCAATTTCTAGTACCTGCTATGATAAATATACGTAAGGCGCTTGTGTCAACAGGTTTAGGAGATTCTATTAAAGTTTCTTCGGTTGTTGATACGGGAGTACTCTCCGAGTCATTTCCTCCTTCTAAAGGCTCTTTCAAACAAGAGTATCGTCCAATACTTGATCCGCTCATCCAATTTCTCGTAGAGAACAGATCCCCATTACTCGTTAATGTATATACTTACTTTAGTTACATTAGAAATACTCGTGATATTCGTCTCGATTATGCTCTTTTCACAGCTCCATCAACGGTTGTCTCAGACCCGCCGCGTAACTATCAGAATCTTTTTGATGCGATTGTTGATGCGGTTTATGCTGCATTAGACAAATCAGGTGGAAGTTCTTTAGATATAGTTGTAGCAGAGAGTGGATGGCCGACAGCTGGAGGAGAAGCCACTTCAGTAGAAAATGCAAGAACTCATAATAACAATTTGATTCAACATGTTAAAAAGGGAACTCCAAGAAGGCCTGGAAAAGCTATAGAAACTTATATTTTTGCTATGTTTGATGAGAATCTAAAAAGTCCAGAATTTGAGAAATATTGGGGGCTTTTCTTGCCTAAGAAACAGCAAAAATATCAAGTCAATTTTAATTGAAGGATTTGCAAGAAGTTGCATAAAATGGAAACTCTTATGTTTTGCTAATAATAATTCTTGTAATCATAATAAATTTGAGTTCTGAAACTCAAATGGTGTCAGATTTGAGTTTTATCCATATTGTCTATTTTTAATAAATTTAAAAGGGAGATTTACCCTTACTGTGTAACTAGCAATATTATTTTAGATATAATGTTTCTAATGGATCAAATGATCAGTCAATAAATATAATTTTAGTTTTTCCTATTAATTTGTTTGAATTTCATCAATGTAGTGGTTCTATATATTCAATCAATATATATAAATGTGTGGTTTTATAATATTCAATCATATAATATTTTCCCTTTGTTTTTTGCTAGACAATTTGTAGGAGAGTTTTTTGGTTATATCCATATATTTGATGCATGGTTTTCAAAAATGAATTTTATTTCTACAAACTTATAAAAGAAACAGTACCATATAAAATCTCCATAATTAACAATTTCTCAGTAAAAAAATTCAAACAATTATAATTTTTTCAACTGTACCTTATAAAAACTTATAAAGAAACACCTATATAATTTTTGATCATTCATTCATTTTCTCTCTTTCTTCTTTTTTGTTTTTTCGTCTCTTTTGATCTATTTCTTATAAGAATATGTTTAGCAGGGGCAAACTCCGGCTACTCCCTTTTAGGTCCTCAAACTTCAAGATAATATTTAAAAAATAATAAGTGGATTACAAAAGTAATATCATTATTTTTTGGCCCCTTTAGAAATTTCTATATGCCTAGCTTTCTCGAACGTGCCCGTTAACCGATATTTGGTACTCATAACAGTAAATATAATTTTAATTTATATTATATATAATATTATGAAGAAATTTAATATTATTGCAAGTAATATAATAAATAGAAATTTTCTCACAATGAATTATTACTTGATTTGGAAATTTATTGACGTTTCGATTTTATATTATAGATAGATAGTTAATATAATAATTAATATATTAATCAATTGTTTTAGAGGATCATTTAATATTTTTGATTATTTTTTTTTTTTTTATATTACTTTAAACTAAAGTCTTAGGCATATAAATTAATTTTATAGTTGTTTTTTTTAGAAAAAAAAATTAAGTGGTTTGCTAATATAACATGTTATATCATAATACTGTATATATATTTTTTAATTTTTATTATAAATTATAACATTATGGACAATATATATTACTAAAAATTTTAGAGCGATTCACAAAATATAAAAAAGAATATTCCATGAAATAATAAAATAAAAAATAAAATTTTCAAAGTGAATATTAGGTTGACTTGACACTATGGAATAAATTATTTGAAGAAAATAATTATAACTAATAATTTTCTTCCAATTACAAATAAACATATATTTTGTAATTTTCTTGCAATTTGCGCCAAACTCATTCTGTACACAGAATTTTTGTTTAATAAATCAAGGAGTTCATAATTTTTAATAAATATTAGCGTATCTACAAAAAAACAGTTTTAAAGGTAAGGCTAAGTGCAAAAAGGCAATTATAGTTTAGAGAAAATTTGACAAATTTCAACTTGTTTATTACGTCCAAAGAAGTTTCACTTTAGTTTCTTATTTTCATATTTATAACTTGTATATTAATTACTTTCAATTTTAAAGAAAAGTCTACAACAAGTTTTCTAACAACTTGTATATTTCTTTCTTTTTTTTTTTTCTTTTAAAAAAGGAAAATAAAATGATCACAAGAACAGAATCAGCAACAACAAGGGAGGACAAGGACCCACTCCTTTAAATAAGAACCCTATTCACTGACCGCTTAACAAAGATT